TGTAGAACAGACTCAGTTTATATTACAATACCTACATTTAGAGTCAGTTATTATCATTTAGAGTCAGCTGAATGTCTCAATGTCGTGTTCTAGGCCAGCTGGGAGAACAGTGGGAGTTCTGGCCTTCATACCGTCTCTCACAGCTGAGCTTTGTCAGAGACAGGCTAATGCTAACGCTAATGCTAACCCTGCTCAGTCCTGCTGTCGGTAATCATTGACAGAGCTGAGCTTTATCTTGCCTGAATCCTCTCCCTCCTCCACCAGCCCTGCAGGACACAGGCTAATGCTACTGCTTACATTTGTCCTCACTGCAGGTCAGCTCCGCCGTCCCACTCAGCCTTTGCATAGTGATGCTTTCTCGCAGTTGCGTGAGGCCCGATCAGTGTGAACACTTCAGCCGATATAATTTAATATGTTAAAGAATGAAGACTAGTCGCTGTAGTTAAACAGTGCTTAAATAATATAAATACAAAACAACCCAGTATAAATGACCTTTTAGCATCATGTAAAATGCTGAACTCTTAAAGTGCCAGTATGAGGGAATGTTTGGGAACGTTCAGGGAACGTTCAGGAAGCCACTTTAAGGTGGTTTCACAAAGAAAACACCTGAGAAGTTGAAGCTGGTGTAGCTGTCGATTATGTAATCTTGTTAGGCTTTATATAGTAATTTCAGGTAAAACTGTGTTTGAGCGAATGCTGTATAAAAAACTGCACATGCCATCGGTTCCGAAAGCACAAGCGCACTGATCCCATACAGGCTGTTTGGTCCTGCGGAACGTGGGTAAACTTGGAAAACTGTGACCTGGAAAAACGGCACAATAAAGCGTAGATTAATAAGTAGAACAAAGCTGTGAACTAACATTAAGGTGGCTTGACAAAGCTGTTGCTATGGTATTCCAGGTGGTTGCTAAGGTGTTGCTAAGCTGTTGCTATGGTATTCCAGGTGGTTGCTAAGGTGTTGCTAGGCTGTTGTTACATTTTAGCAAGTGGTTGCTAACGTGTTGCTATGGAATCCCAGGTAGTTGCTAGGATGTTTTTTGGCTGTTTCTATGCTATGGTGGGTGGTTGCTAAGATATTGCTAAGCTGTCACTAAGGTCTCTTAGGTGGTTGCTAAGACATTGCTAGGCCATTGCTATGCTATCCCAGGTGGTTGTTAAGGCGTTGCTAGGCCATTGCTAAGGTCTCTCAGATGGTTGCTCAGACATTGCTAGGCCATTGCTATGCTGTCCCAGGTGGTTGCTAAGGTGTTGCTAGGCTGTCACTAAGGTCTCTCAGGTAGTTGCTAAGACATTGCTAGGCCGTTGCTATGCTATCCCAGGTGGTTGTTAAGGCGTTGCTAGGCCATTGCTAAGGTCTCTCAGATGGTTGCTCAGACATTGCTAGGCCATTGCTATGGTATTCCAGGTGGTTGCTAAGGTGTTGCTAGGCTGTTGTTACATTTTAGTAGGTGGTTGCTAACGTGTTGCTATGGAATCCCAGGTAGTTGTTAGGATGTTGTTTGGCTGTTTCTATGCTATGGTGGGTGGTTGCTAAGATATTGCTAAGCTGTCACTAAGGTCTCTTAGGTGGTTGCTAAGACATTGCTAAGCCGTTGCTATGCTATCCCAGGTGGTTGTTAAGGCGTTGCTAGGCCATTGCTAAGGTCTCTCAGATGGTTGCTCAGACATTGCTAGGCCATTGCTATGCTGTCCCAGGTGGTTGCTAAGGTGTTGCTAAGCTGTCACTAAGGTCTCTCAGGTGGTTGCTAAGACATTGCTAGGCCGTTGCTATGCTATCCCAGGTGGTTGTTAAGGCATTGCTAGGCCATTGCTAAGGTCTCTCAGATGGTTTCTCAGACATTGCTAGGCCGTTGCTATGCTGTCCCAGGTGGTTGCTAAGGTGTTGCTAGGCTGTCACTAAGGTCTCTCAGGTGGTTGCTATGACATTGCTAGGCCGTTGCTATGCTGTCCCAGGTGGTTGTTAATGTGTTGATAGGCTGTTGCTTTGGTATCCCAGTGGCTGATGTGTGCATTAATGCTAGTGTGTATGTGAGTCTGTGTGTAACGTCTATGAGGGTCGGTGTGAGACAGACGTCTTTGTGACATCACTTGTGGCAGCTTTAAACTTTAATGTTCTACCGTTCATTTCAGTGAATGGGGGAAGTTAGTGTTTGGACGAGCACCGCGTGAGAAGCGATCGTGTGGTCCGTCATTATTCAGTGTGGACTGTACCGTCCTGTGAAACTTTGTGGTTCAACGTCAAAAACCGGGCACCAGGAAAACGATTCAATAAGGGGTAGAATCTTCTCAAGCCAACTTAATCATAATTGTTCAAAATTGCATCATGTTCGTATCTCATATCGTCACTGTTAGAACAAAACCTTCTGTCTCTGAAAGTTGTAACTTCACAGGAAAAGGAAATTATTAATGAGGGTTATGATTTTACTTCCAGTCATTTTTGGGTCATTTTTATTGAATAAATCATCATGAAAATTTCACACAATGCAAAAAATGACAAGCTTTTTTCTACGAAAGACAATATAGTCTAAAATTTAAAGAGACCTTGTTGGTGCTCAGGTTCCCCTGATCCTGATAAATCTGTGGAACCTTAATATAGTCATATAATAGACTTTATCAGCCCAACTGGAGTAGAACATTTACAAAAACACATGGTGTGTAATATCTACAGTATCGCATCTTCACAGTTTTGTTCTTTCTGTTGATATAAAGAGCTGAAGTTCCAGCTGAGGGAGCCGTGTGGAGTGATTATCAGAATGTCTCCTGTAGAACCGTGTAACCCCTCTGACTGTACTCAGTTCTAACAGAGCGTTCCTCAGATTAGAGCTCATTCACCACCTGTATCAGCTCAGAAGGAGTTTGTTTAGGTTCAGAGAGATTAAACACAGCTGAGCTTCACAGAGCAGAGAAACAGATGATCAGCAGGAGAGCTCATTCACTCTGAGCTGAGAACCAGAGCCGGTTCCTTAGTGAGGATGCTGGTCTAGATTACTTACAGCCCACGTTCTCTCTGAAACTGATTTGAGAACCAGAGCAGGTTCCTCAGTGTGGAAGATGGTCTAGATTAGATACAGCCCACGTTCTCTCTGAAACTGATCTGAGAACCAGAGCAGGTTCCTCAGTGTGGAAGATGGTCTAGATTAGACACAGCCCACGTTCTCTCTGAAACTGATTTGAGAACCAGAGCAGGTTCCTCAGTGTGGAAGATGGTCTAGATTAGATACAGCCCACGTTCTCTCTGAAACTGATCTGAGAACCGGAGCAGGTTCCTTAGTGAGGACACTGTTCTAGATTAGATACAGTCCACATTCTCTCTGAAACTGATCTGAGAACCACAGCAGGTTCCTCAGTGAGGACGCTGGTCTGGTGTTTTTGTGCTCTAGTTAGAACACTATATATCAGTACTGTAGAAAGTACTGATACCATCAAACGTAAGCGACCATTTTCATACCTACTCTTCTAACATACTTATGAAAATACATATTACTGTAGGAAGCTAATGTGAGTAAAAGTAGGAATAACCTTGGAAAAATATTACCTGAGTAAAAGTGACCAAGCAGGACAGTATTTTCACCAGAGTTCCACGCTCGTTAATGTACTTCAGTATCTACAGTAGCAGTACTTTGAGTTATTATAAATATATATTAATATTACATTATTTTGATGGCCAGTGTGGCTGCAGACTGTTCCCTCTTCACTGCTGCAGCCGCTCTCCTCTATAGAAACTGTGCTTTTATTCTTTAACTAGAAATATATAGAGAGATAAATAACGTTCATAACTGGGTCTCTGTAGCTGAGAATGATGCTTCATAACAGTGTTATAAACCAAACAAAGCTCTGTTACTTTAATGTAAGGCACCTTATATCAAAACAATGTCAGTTCCTTCATGAAAACATCTGACGCCATCTAATGATTACTGACATGAGCTAATTACAGGTATCCCAGCACTGCGTTATGAAGTGTTGCTCTTATATATTCACTGCTGGTGTTTGTTGTGTATTCGGCCTTCAAATAAAGTGTTTCCCAGTGTGCAGCCTCTGCTTATTATGGTCTGTAGAATCTTTCAGAGGTTTGCGTTAGAACCTCCATCCACGCCACCACACCACCATATCAGTAATCTCTGAAGTCTTTCCTCCGGTCAATCAGAGCCGTTCCCCTGGTGCCGTGTTCCTGCGCTGAGGCAGATGGTCAGGACAGCGAGCTGTGTTTGGGTTCACGCTGGGTTCATTCAGGTCACTGTGACAATGGCTGAATTTCTAAACGGGTGAATCACTGCAGCTTCTACGAAGAACAAAGGATCTCCTTATTACCCAGACTGCAGTGGAAGTGTGGGCGTTGTTCTGCCTTCAGGCCACAGGGAGACAGAACACTGTCCTTCTTTTCATTTTTTAGTCTAAGTTTTTACTTTTTATTTAGCCACTGATGACTTTTGGTTTGGCTCTGAGGATGTTTGATCTGGATAATTAGGAATTTTAATTTGGCTCTAAAACTTTTTGATTTAGCTCTTTTTTTGATTTAGGACTTTTAATTTGGCTCTTGGGAAATTTTGATTTGGCTCTTGAGGACTTTTAATTTGGCTCTGAATAATTTTGATTTGTCTCTTTGGGAATTTAGATTTGGCTCTTGAGGAATTTAGATTTGGCTCTTGAGGAATTTAGATTTGGCTCTCGGGGAATTTTGATTTGGCTCTTGGGAAATTTTGATTTGGCTCTTGAGGACTTTTAATTTGGCTCTGAATAATTTTGATTTGGCTCTTGAGGAATTTAGATTTGGCTCTTGAGGAATTTTGATTTGGCTCTTGCGGAATTTTGATTTGGCTCTTGTGGAATTTTGATTTGGCTCTTGCGGAATTTTGATTTGGTCCCTTTTTTGATTTTGGGCCCGTGGAGCTGTTAATGACCTACTGATGTTTTAGCTCATGTTTAATGTGAAATTAATTAAGCTTTGATGTTTTCTGTGTTTTTTGTGTTTGAATCTAATTGTCTTCACTGTTTCTCTGCAGTGGAATCTGGTCTGTACGTCTGAATGGAAGGTTCACATCGCCAAGTTTTCTCTGCTGGTGGGAACCATCTTCGGCTACCTGGTGCTGGGGGTCCTGGCCGACTGGTGAGTGTTTCTGATGTTTATGTTCAGATTCTGTAAGATACACTCTGATTGGTTAATTATAGTTACACTCTGATAGGTTATCCAGACTTCTAACTAAGATCTTTTTGGAACAGAGATGCTGAACTGAAAAAAGTCCTGACTTTAGTTGTTATTGAGTATATTTATTTGAATTAATTATAAGTATGTAAACAAAATATTGATACGCTTTATTTTGTTTTTGTTGTACCACCATTTTAAAAAACTTACACAGACAACAATGGTTTGTTGTTGGTCGGTGTTCATATCAGTCGAATGGTCCCTTTCTGTCAAAGTATGTGGTCTTTGGCCGTATCAAGTGACGAAATCTGCTAAACTCTGTAATAACCTCAAATGACTGTCCTGATTCCAGACTTTCCCTTGTTGAATTGGAACTTTCTGCCAGACTCAGAACTTACCTGTCTTCGTTCAAGATATATTCATCTTGATTCAAGACTCGCTTGTCTCGAGTTAAGACTAATTTGTCTTGATTTGAGACTAGTTTGTCTTAATTTGAGACTAATTTGTCTCGATTTGAGACTTACTTGTCTTGATTCGCGACTAGTTTGTCTTGATTTGAGATTTGTTTGTCTTAATTCAAGATATATTGGTCTTAATTTGAGACTTGTTTGTTTTAATTCGAGACTAGTTTGTCTTGATTTGAGACTTGCTTGTCTTTATTTGAGACCTAATTGTCTTGATTTGAGACTTGTTTGTCTTGATTTGAGACTTGTTTGTCTTGATTCAGGACTTGCTTGTCCTGAGTTGTTTGTCCTGATTCAGGACTTGTCTGTCTTGAATCAAGACCTGCTTGACTTGGTTTTGTGTCAAGACATGCTACTTTTTTGGTCCTTGCTGCCCGCCGACCTGTTCCTACCTCAGCATTTATGCTCCTGCACCGTGTGAGTTGTACTGAATGTTACCTGGTACATGTCTGCAGGTTTGGACGTCACCTGGTGCTGATAATTTCGGTGTTTTTCACACTGGTGTTCGGGATGACAGTGGCTTTCTCTGTGGATGTGACCATGTTCAGCACCCTTCGCTTCTTCGAAGGATTCTTCCTGGCAGGGATAACACTCTCTCTCTACGTCCTGAGTAAGTACTGAAAACAAACACACACTTCAGCAGTCGTTCTGTGGCACTACAAAACACATCAATATGGCATTTTAGTTTTTCCTACTGTAACCCTTAGAAGTCCAGAGTCATGATACACTGTAAAGACAGTTTGTCAGTTCAACCTCAAAAACAACCTCTTGTGGTAAGAAGCAGTGAAACGGCTTTATTCAACTTAAATAAATACTGAGTGAAATATAGCAAAGCAAACTGCAGCATTTCACACCAATTCAAACAGCAAAAACACTGTATATCAACTTACACTGTGTTCCACATTTTACAGTGTAATGTTTCCTTTATATTTCAGTTCTGCTAAATAATTATTTACATATAGTTACATGATTATGATTTTTCTTTTTGTTTTGATGCCAAAAACAGGACAAAAATTTAATAAATGATTTTTAATTCATCTGGACCATCAAATTCAAATCATTCTAAAATATCTCCTCTAACATTTTCACACACAAATGTGGTGTGGAATAAAAGTTCAGGATCTGTTCTTTCCTCACCATTTCTCCACTTGTTCCAGTGAGTTATGAGTCAGGAATAATTCATATAAAATTGATAACTCCTCACAGGTGATAACTGTGTCTTCTAAGGGTTAAAATAAAAAACAGGGCTTGTTTGCAAATATCCAGGCAAGTTGACATCAATAACAGTGTAATTGTCCTGTTATGCCTGTGTATCATCACTGTGTCTCTATTTAAGCTGTGTAACTGGTGTGTCTGAGTGGAGAAATGTTAGGGGGCTTTGCAGTGATGACAGAGGCTGAAGTGTTTAATGATAGTGAGCTGCGGTTGGCTAAGTGGGTTTTGGCTGTGTTGGTGGTGCTGCAGTGGGGTTGGCTGTGTTGATGGTGCTGCAGTGGGGTTGGCTGTGCTGGTGGTGCTGCAGTGGGGTTGGCTGTGTTGATGGTGCTGCAGTGGGGTTGGCTGTGCTGGTGGTGCTGCAGTGGTGTTGGCTGTGCTGGTGGTGCTGCAGTGGGGTTGGCTGTGTTGGAGGTGCTGCAGTGGGGTTGGCTGTGTTGGAGGTGCTGCAGTGGGGTTGGCTGTGTTGGAGGTGCTGCAGTGGGGTTGGCTGTGTTGGAGGTGCTGCAGTGGGGTTGGCTGTGTTGGAGGTGCTGCAGCGCTGAATCTGAATGTGGGTCATGTTTTGGAATGAGGGCCAGAGAGCTGAGTGTTTTGGAAATGGGGAAGCAGGTCAGAGTGTTGTCAGTGTAAACAGCAGCAGGGTTTCGAGCAGAGAAAGAGAGAAGAACACCACCTGATGTGGGTCACCCGCTGAGTCGGCCCACTGGACCATGTGACCGCTTGTAGAGCTGTTAGTGGATAAAGCTGAGCATGATGGTCTCTTTAAATCTTCACCTACTTTAAAACACTGCAGCTCACAGTCTTCCTGGAAATGACAGTCAGATTACGTTACAGTGGTGTTCCTCCGTTTACACTGACTGCCCGTGAGTTTCATATCGACTACCGAGTCCTGCTAACGACGCTTAGCCCTGAGAAATCGTACTGACCTTCTGAAGCGTCTCAGTCCATCTCGGGCACTTCATTCAGCAGAAGCAGGTTTATCCCTCGCAGCTCGGACGGTGGGAGATGTTGTTCTTCTGATAGTTTTTCAGAGGATATCAGGAACACAAGCTCTATAAATATCCTCAAATCTACACTCAAATCAGCTGATTCATAATCCCTGAAATTAAACTCACTATTTGTGAAATTAGTTTAGTTCATTATTTTTACTTATTAATTTGGAGTGTATTATTATAGAACTATTATTACTCTCAGTGCTGTTTCAGTGTTTGTTCTATCAGTGTTATTCTTTTATTCTCTATTGTTTTGCTTAATTTGACTCTTTTCTTTGTTTGCGATGTTTTTAACTTTATTTTCTGTTACTCAGACAGAATGTTATCACAGTATTACAGATACAGAGCAGACCAAAAACTGCCCCTCTCCTCCCTCCCCATCACTGCCCACTCATCTATTAATTAGCTGTTGTGGCCGATTCTGTCGTTACTGCACTGCAAAAAAATGGGATCTTGTCCAGTGAAATGATCTTAAATCTAGTCGATGCGTCTGTTTCCCATGTTGAGATGGTTGTGCACCATGTGTGCTTGTTATCTGTCTTATTTCTATGTATTATTTACTTGTTTAGGTCATTTTATTACGTAAAATTGTCTCACTGTACAGGCTCATTTCTAAGACCAACACAATCATCTGCGCATATAGTGAGATAAATTTGCTTAATAAAATTACTTAAAAATATCTAGTAATAAAGTAAATAGTCATAAATTAAGATGACAACAATCTCAACTGGAGACATATTAGATTTATTGACTATATTTAAGATAATTGTACTTGCCACCCTTTTCTCAGTGTGAGTCGAGTGGTCTTACGTTGAGGTTCTGAAATTCCTGTGTGGTGGGTTTTCCGCTGGTGTTAAACGAGTGAGCAAGACTTTCTTCTGTTAGGATTAAATTAAATCTGCGATTTCTAAGTTCCTGTTATTTTATCTTCTGACTTGTTGATGGTTGTGTGTCGTGGTGTTTTCCTCCAGGCGGCGGTCCGGGCTGCTGCTGTCCGTCTCCCTGTGGACAGAGATTAAACAGAGATGACTGAACTGTGCTAACAGAGCAGTAACAGCTCGTTTATTTACTGACCTCAGTCTTTCTGACCACTCGCCCTCGCTCAGTCTGTCTACCCTCATAAACAGATAGAAGCTCATCACACAGTTCAAACTATCGTAGCCTCTGCCTTATCGTAGCTACGTTAGCGCTGTAGCTCAGTGTAAAGGAGCAAACTCCAGACGCCAGGCGTGTGTTGATGGACTACGTTTGGGGTCAGTGGTGGGGGGTCTGGGGTGGACTCTGGGAGTGTTACAGGTCTGAACTATCTTTACAGATTAAATCATGTCCTGAGACTTAAGTCGCTCCTCTAGATCAACGCTGACCTTCTCCAGCGGTCGAGGGCTTTACTGATGACCCATAATCCTCTTCGCACGGCTGTTGCCATGGTAATGGCCTTGTCCATAATTGCCTTTGTCTGGCCTGTAAAAGCCACAGCCGCTCTAATGTACTCCACACTGTCTGCCTGACTACATCTGTCACATACAGGTGGATATGTATAAATACACGCGCGCACACACACACACACACACACACACATACATACATACATACATATACGTATATACATATATATACACACATATATACACTGATCAGGCATAACATTCTGACCACCTCCTTGTTTCTACACTCATTGTCCATTTTATCAGCTCCACTTACTATATAGGGTCACTTTGTAGTTCTACAGTTACAGACTGTAGTCCATCTGTTTCTCTGATACTTTGTTAGCCCCCTTTTACCCTGTTCTTCAGTGGTCAGGACCCCCATGGACCCTCACAGAGCAGGTACTATTTGGGTGGTGGGTCATTCTCAGCACTGCAGTAACACTGACGTGGTGGTGGTGTGTTAGTGTGTGTTGCGCTGGTCTGAGTGGATCAGACACAGCAGTGCTGCTGGAGTTTTTAAACGCTGTGTCCACCCACTGTCCACATATGAGCCATATTTCGCCGTTTAAGGTGGAACAGGAAAATTTAAAGAAGCAGCTGGTGAGAAAGGAGCCGACTGCAGAGCTGAAACGGGCCTGAAAGGAGCAGCTGCTCTGTTTCTGCCTGACAGGCTGTTTCACAGAACCAGTAGGTCAGTGTTGTGTCCTGTTTGCGAGTGTCTGTGGAAGCAGCTGATTAGCTTTGCAGCAGCTACTGTAGCGACGGTTTGCTAAAACACAGCTGAGCTAACATGAGCTACGCTGTTAAAAATCACTTCAGTGCCCCTAATGTGGCGTCACAGCCCCGCCCTCAATATTGGCTATTGGCCGATCATGCTGAAAAGTGATTGGCGATCGGTATCAGCTGATCATGCTGAAAGGTGATTGGCGATCGTATCGGCCGATCATGCTGAAAGGTGATTGGCGATCGGTATCAGCTGATCATGCTGAAAGGTGATTGGCGATCGGTATCAGCTGATCATGCTGAAAGGTGATTGGCGATCGTATATACATGTATGAGAAAGAATTATGTGACGTCATCCAGTTTAGTGCCGCGCCGTGCCGGGTTCCCTCTGAGTGAACTGGGATTAACTCATATTGACCCTGATGGCTGTAATCTGTCTATAAGGTGACCGATCAGTGCTGTGTGAGGAGCTGGTGTGTCCTGCACTGCTGGATCTGAGAGAACCTGAATCTAATCTAACTCTGGATGATCTCTGCAGCAGTGCTGACTGTGTAGGTCAGATCCCCATCCTGGTCTCCAGCCGCTGAGGCTGCATCAGTCCTTCCACTCTGGGTTTGGCTTTAGTGCAGAGGACTGGAGGAGGAGGAGGAGGAGGAGGAGGAGGAGGAGGAGGAGAGGGCTAATCCAGAACTAATCCACATCTAATCCTGCTTTTCTCTCCTTCCAGTGCTCTGCTGACCCTAATCGTTCTCCCCTCACAGTGTGAAACGGATCCAGGTCTGATTTAGAGCCCTTCCTGGACGTTCCTGACTCCGCTGGTCAGATCACTGTTTCCACACCGAGTCTCATAAAACCCTTTAACGATTCTCATGCTGATCACAGCCGAGTCGCTGACGTTCACCTGTAGTCACTCACTTTGGGTGAACGTTATGCAAATGAGCTGAGCGGCGACCAATCAGATAAAGACTTGAATGCACACTGAGGCCGAGATATAACGGCTGAAAAAACACCTGGTGATTTGAGAACGTTGGACATTATTACCAGAGTGGACCAAACATCAGGCACAAAACCAGCGAGAACATCCTGAGCAGAACCCTGAGACCCTCAGGATGGAACCCATTCAGTGAGGGTTCCTCTGAACTTTAACTGCAGCTGTGTTTTTCATTTCACCCCCGATTAGAGACAGACATCATCAGCACAGAGCAGAAACAAATACACGCTGAGAGCTTTATGCAAATGAGAAGCAAACCGCTGACCACTGACCTGTAGGACGTTAAGTGTTTTGTCATGTGTCTTTGTCATGGGACACAGGGGTTAAGCCCCCCCACCCCCCTCACTGTCACAGGCTAGTAATTCTGTTTCACACTTATTCACACACTGCACAGTCCCTGGACTGAGCTCATGACTGACCATCACAAATCCCAGAGAAAAAGGCGTAACGTGTCCTCTGTGTCTGTTGGGGAGCACAGGAACGCCGGAAAATGGGCAGAAAATAGTCTTTTTCATGTTTTGGGGTTTTTGGCCAAAATTTTGTCCTGTTTTTCTTTTTTGGTGAAAAAAAACCCAAAACATGAAAAAAAAAACTTAAACAAAATGTGAAAATCTCAGGCCGGCTTTACACGGTGAAACTGTCATGAAACTAGTTGAGTCTGTGTCCAGTTTCTGGGCAGCTGATCAGCCACACAGAGCAATTTAGCAACACTCAGAGTTACAGATAACAGCTCCATTACTCTGCTTCACTGTCTGTTGATCCAGTGAATAATGCACTGTTTGAAAGCAGGTTGTTTGATGTGATCACATGATGTGTTATTGCTGTTTTTATGGGCTGTTTCATGAAACTTGTTGCGACTGAGTTTCGAGTCAGTTGCGGGACACTTCACATTATACAGCTCAACTGCTGTTTAGTTTCATGTAGGTTTCAAGCAACTAAAGCTGCACATAAAACCAGCCAGACTTCACTGAGTATTTAAAGGAGGTGAAAATGAGGAACAGTGATGACGGAGCTCAGTGCGCTGACGATCAGACGCTGATGATCAGACGCTCTGCTGGGCTTCATGGCTCGGTCTGTAGATACACACTGTAGCTGTTTTAGTGGGTTTAGAGGTTTTTTGTTTATTGTCAGCTGTTTTTGGTTTCGGTGTGTTGAATTTCAGTTTCAGTAAAGAATCTCCTGACCAAGAGAAAAAACTGTCCCATCATCTAATCACACTGATATGGACTGAGATCAGACACAGAGACGTGTTCTGTTGTCAGGAACGTGTGTTTGTTTTGTTTATTGTTTACGGTCTCTGTGCTCCTGTGGGCAGATTCTTCACTAACTGATTTGTTGGTGTTTGGTTGAATGTACAGTCTGGAGGAAGGTAAAGACGCATCACTGCTCTGTAGAAACTCCACAGCTCACTGTTTAAAATCCATCTGTGTATCAGATACAGTGAAATAACTGCAGCTGTAAACGAGAACATAGTGAAATATAAACATACACACATTACCGCTGTTCTCCTCACTCAGCGCGAGGTTTCATTGGTTTGAGGTTGCTGTGGTCATTGTTGTGGTCACTGTTGTGGTCGGTGTTATAGATATTAGTGTAGATACACAGTCACTGCACACGTGTACTTATTTATGCACGTGTAATTGTATATCTGTGTTCTACACTGCTGCTGTTTGGATGTAGTCCCCTCTCACTGTACACTCACTGTATCAATCTCTATATATTTATATATATAGTGGATGTGGTCAGTACATAAAGAACACTGTCCAGCTACATAATTAGTCCTGTTTAACTGGATTTAGTAATTCAGTGTGTGGAACGTTCCTCTTTTACACCCTGTTTAAATGCAGAATGTTCTCTGTTCCAACACTCAGAACAACCACACTCAGTATCCTGATACGCACTTCAGTGTAAATGTCTTCAGATATCATGTTTGCCGTGTCGCTCAGCCCAGCACCACGTCTTCACCCCAAAATCCCCCACTCACTCACTCCCTCGCTCCCTCCCTCACTCCCTCGCTCCCTCCCTCACTCTCTCTCTCTCTCTCTCTCTCTCTCTCCCCGTTTTCTAGCTACTTCCCCCCTCCGCCCCCCCAAAGACACTATCACCACATCAGTGTCAGAACAATAACAGGGATTCAGTGTGTTCAGATTCTCTCCTCCAGCTGAGGCTCTGCTGAGGACAGAGAAGATGAGGGTGAAGCTGAGGGGCTTTCAGGCTCTCTGAGTGCTGACCATTCAGCTCATCCATTACAGGACTGTAGGGGGCAGGGTTTAGGGTGGAGGGAGTAGGGGTTAGGGTGGAGGGAGTAGGGTTTATGGTGTAGGGGTAGTGTTTAGTGTGGAGGGGGTAGTGTTTAGTGTGGAGGGGGTAGTGTTTAGTGTGTAGGGGTAGTGTTTAGTGTATAAGGAGTAGTGTTTATGGTGTAGGGGGTAGTGTTTATGGTGTAGGGGTAATGTTTATGGTGTAGGGGTAGTGTTTATGGTGTAGGGGTAGTGTTTAGTGTGTAGGGGTAGTGTTTAGTGTGTAGGGGTAGTGTTTAGTGTATAAGGAGTAGTGTTTATGGTGTAGGGGTAATGTTTATGGTGTAGGGGTAGTGTTTAGTGTGTAGGGGTAGTGTTTATGGTGTAGGGGTAGTGTTTAGTGTGTAGGAAGTTGTGTTTAGTGGGTAGGGGTAGTTTTTAGTGTTTATGGGTAGTGTTTAGGGTGTAGGGAGTCATGTTTAGGGTGTAAGTGTAGTGTTTAGGGTGTAAGGAGTCATGTTTAGGGTGTAGGGGTAGTGTTTAGGGTGTAGGGAGTTGTGTTTAGTGTGTAGGGGTAGTGTTTAGTGTGTAGGGAGTCGTGTTTAGTGTGTAGGGGTAGTGTTTAGTGTGTAGGGAGTTGTGTTTAGTGTGTAGGGGTAGTGTTTAGTGTGTAGGGAGTTGTGTTTAGTGTGTAGGGG